TGTTTGATGGTATATACCACAGTGCAACATTTGAGTGTGTGTTTAAACTGCATGTCAGGTGCTGATGCTGGTGGGGGCAAGATGGTTGGCAGGGTTTTTGTTCCGCTGGTCTGACCTGGAGCTACTGGACGACCCAATCCCCGAGAAGATGTACTGCAGGAGTGTCAGACAATGGAAACAGGGCTCTGGTGGCGACGATTTGGAGGGAGCTGGAGGAGAGTGATGACACATAGCCGAACCGGGTAAATGATTTTCAATTTGTCGCGTACCATGGTTTTGTCTGCAACCTGCGCCCTCCTCGTGCCTTGGGATCCTCTACCTCGATTTTCGTTCAATACATGCATGATGTCAGGCATTCTGCAGTTGAGACCGTACACCTTACACATCTGTGGGTGGTATAAATATCTATTTATTATATATTATTTCTCTCAGTCTAGCCTAAATCTCTATCGTATATAATACCTCTATGGCTGGTATGCTATGAACTAATTTCATGCACAATAAAATCTATTTCTCTCCTCCTCCATCTCCTTCCCAACCCTTGAAAAACTAGGCGCTTCCAATGGAACACATACCAACAAGTCCCCCCATGCACCGCCGGGGAAGAGGAAATCAGACATCAACATGACGCAGGCAGTGGACAGCTCTGGGATCTGGAAGAACATGGTGAGGAAGCTGGAGGCCCCGCTCCAGAGCCCTCGCCGCCGCGGCCGCTTCAAGCCCACGCCTCTCGACCCCGTCATCGTCGAGGAGGAGAGCAGAGATCTCATTAGTCCCCGGAGCCTGACTGTTGAAGTCAACGATCTCCTCCTCTCCCCGTGAGTGGGGAGACTAGGGAAGATGGGGAGGAGAGGATGCCCCGCCACTTTCTGCCACTAACACTGCCAGGTACCAGGTGACATCCGTGTAGAGAGAGAGAGACTCATCATCACCTGACTGTCATGTGACTTTCTGCTTGGTCATGTGACTCATTATTTATTTGCTAGGTGTGCACTACTGTTACTGTAGTGTTTCTCATGCATTGTGTTCATTTTGTCTGTACAGTCTATAATATAATGTTTTGTCTGTACAGTCTATAATGTTTTAAGTACGCCAGCACACTGCCGCCACTCTCGCCCTTCCTTCTCAAGGCCAACATACCATTCGCAAAAGATTTGCAACAAATTTTTTTCTCCAATGCAGTCAGTCCGCATGCATGGTAATAGCTGGCTGCATGATATATAGCTACGTAGTTTAGTGTCATAATAATCTACAAGAAGATGGCAATAGGGTTTGTGTGAAAAACTGATAATAACTGATTGGATATTTTGGCACACTGTATAAATACATGGTAGCTATATACATAAGAAGTTCTTTCGTGAGTTTGATTGTTACAGGGCTCCAGCCAGCGGACTCTGTTTAATGAGAGAAAAATTATTAGTTGAAGGAAATTATACAGGGACATGTACGTACCTCTGAATAAGGGACACTGGGTACATCGAAATTGTATTTAGAGGTGTCCCTTACTCGGGTAACACTAATTGCCAAGTAGAGAGGTCATGGCTCGTACAGTTCTGGAGTTTTATTAGCACCAAGAAGCTAGAATTAGGAGTAACGTAAGCACAAAAGTGCTGGCACAGATATGTAGCTGGAGTTATAGCTATACATACAGTGTAACCTGGGGACCTCATGACCTCTCTGCACTTGTTTAAACCCCATGCTAATACTCTAGTGTATTACTGTATTTGACCTCTGAGATAGGGACGACCTCCTTATATAAGGATACTACAAGGGACCAAATCAGTTGGCCCCATAGTGTCCCTCGTTCGGAGGTTTCAATGTGTAGGTGGCAGGTGTTACCTGAAATCCGCTATCTTCAAGTTCCGTGGTTGTGTTGTAGGTCCTGTTCATCCCGACCTCTTCCGGTGGGCCTTTGCTCACGATATTCTCAAAGAAATGTCTGACAATGGTCGTGGAATTCCCGAGACCGCTGTCCTGGAGGAGGGAGAGGGCCTGTTCTACTTTGACCGGCGAGTAAGACCCTCTCGTTAGATTCTGGTGGTGTTGCTGTTGCTTGCGGCGGATGTGCAGTGGTATTTCGAGCCTCGGGCTCTCCGGTTCGACCTCGGCTGACGAAACTGGCTCACAAACAGGGGCTTCGGTGTAATCTCTCTCCTTGCCTGAAGCTGTCATTGATTCGTTGAGGCCGACTTCAAACTGCGATATGAGCATTGCTACCTGTCCCTGGCTGGTGATGCTGCTCTCACACACATCTTCCTCACTAGTTGTGCAGGTTGGTTCGTCTCTCGGTGAACGTGTGTCGATTTCTCCCTCCTCTTCCATGGCGGTGATGATTGTAAAATCCGGCTCTCTATCATCAGTGAGAGTGAGAGGTGGTGGGGAGAGCAGCCGCGGTGTGCCGGCTGGCGAGGAGGAGGAGGGGAATTTGAGGGGAACGGAAGAAGGGAAATTGGGGGGAACTGGCGAACCAAGGGAGGAGGAGGAGAGGGGGGAGGTGTTGTAGTGATCGGAGGAGGTGGACGGAGGGTGTGGAGTGACAGATGAGGAAAACGTCGGAGAGAGGGAGAGGGAGAAGGAGTGTGAGATGGTCTCGGTGTTTGTGGTGGCGGTGGTGGTAGGGTAGTGATCCTCTGTGGCGCTCTCGGTCTCCCCACAGTCTGATTCAGAGTCCGCGTCGTGTCCCTCTGTTCCCGTGATGTCACAGCTGCTCTCGTTGCTAAGTGCAGGGGAATACACCGGCGGAGGCTGGAGAGTTGTTTTTGGGGCAGGAAGAAGATGAATTATAGGAAGCTGGTGGTGATTGGTGGGTGTGGTTGTACTTTGACCCCCACATGCATGAGTAGAGGAAAGCAGCTGACTCTCCCGATGTGTTTTTAGGACACCACTATTCAGGACAGAAGAGGTCCCCGAGTAACTGCTGTTGTCCTGTTCCCTGTAGGTCTCCGTGTCGGAATTGGAATCGGACGAGTCCAGTTTGGAATAGGGCACCGACGACATCATCTTCTCTCTGTGCTCCCTGAGTAGCGGTGTGGTCTGTTGTTGCTGATGGTGCTGCTGGTGTTGTTTGTTGGAACGAATCCAGTGAGAGGGGGAGAGGGAAGGTGAAGAGGTACGTCTCACACCAGCCATCTCCAGCACACCACTGTGTCTCCCGGAGCCTGGCGTGCTTGTGGTAGAGCTGCTTCTCCTTCCTTGTGGCAGTAGGTTTGCTGAACCGCCCGACCCTGTTCTCCTGTGGGTCCTATCTCTTGTTGAGGAGGGCGAGGGAGAAGCCTTCTGTTGAAGGCTGCGTAAGAGTTCGTCCACCGCTGGGGACAGGGTGCCCCCCGGGGTAATCGGGGGTTCCAGAGAGTCATCCGATTTCGAGCCCCCCTCAATTGAACGCTGGGCCCCGTCGGTGTGATTGGTTCCCTCGAGGTTTAGTCCAGTGGGGACCATTTTCACGGTGGTTTTTTGGTCCCGGGGGGAGAATTGGGCCCCTAGTGTCCTGGGAACTAATGGGAGATTGGTCTTTGAATCGAGAGGTTGATGTGTGTGTGTGGCCAGGGGCTGGATATCCTTATCAGGACTGGTTCGGTCAGTCGATCGCCTCTTCCGTCGGGGGTGTGGTTTCTTACGAGACGAGGTGGGCGGAGTCCCGAAATTAACGGTGTTGTTGTCGTGTGTGGGGAGATGGGTGGAAGGAGGGGGAGTGAGGGGGGAGAGGGGAGGAGGGGGCAGATGTCGGCCGGTGTGGTCGATGTCATCCGTGGAGTCGGAGGATTCGAGGACCGTTCGACTGGCCGGCTGGTCGTGGCGTCTCATGTTGTGTATCATTGCATGGAGTTTCTCCTCCCTCCTACACACACACACACACACACAGGTTTACATGTAACATCTCTTAAAACACTCTTATTTTAAAAAACCCATATCATAATGTATTTAAATTCTTCCTGCACATGTCAAAAATGTCCTCCCTCCTAACACACACACACACAGGTTTACATGTAACATCTCTTACTAAAATGTACATCTCTGCATGCTAACTATATTTAGAACTATGTACTAAGAGTGGTTGAACCTCAATTTTCTGGAAGCTTGGGTGAGGTCGTATATTGTAGCATAAACAGGCTTGTTTCAGTTGAGGAATAAACCAATGAGGCGCATAAAGTGTTCTCGCCGGAAGTACAAAGTCACGAACAAGGACATGTATGGGAAGCTGGAATAATAAACAAAACTACCATTTTCCACATTGGTGCCATATTTGGTACACATGAATGTGTATGTATGAAATTATAGTTCATAGCATACCAGCCATGTATATGTATATACCTGAGTAGCTGCAGTTCCTTGGCATCCATCTCTTTCTTACATGTACTGAGTCTGCGGTAGAGTCGATTGGCGTTGCGCAGCTTCTGTTGGTACATCTGCCTCACGTCCTGGGCATGTCTGCAGGGGGGAGGAGGTGGAGGAAGCATGATGTTGTAGCTAATCACCATCAAAAGAAACTATCGGCAGTTCAAATATGTATTGAAAGGATGCATAAAAGGGTTATGCTATGCTGACAGGAACTTGTGTCGTCTGCACAGGTTATCTATGTACATTTGTATGTGGGCTGCTTTAGTGATCAGTTATGTAACACTTCGTTGATGTGAGCATACTAGTACAACGCATTCCTGGCTGGCGAGCAATCAGCAGTCAGGCTATAGAGGAGTTGCCTGTGCAAAATCGGACAACACCAATGTCTCTGTCACATAAACTAGGCTCCTTAGGGTGCCAATGTAGCAGTGTGTTCTCAGCTTGCTACTGTCCCTTACAGAGAGGTGTATCCTTATTTGGAGGTTTTTCCTCTCAACCAACATAACCATACTGTTTCAGCTTGTAAAGGAGCAGAAGGAGGCTCACTTTAGTTCCTCCTCTCTCTGCTGGACCAGCTGGGTGTCGGGCTGAGGTGGAGCCAGTCCTTCCTGCCGTATCTTCTTTAGGTGAACCTCTATCTCTGCCCTCCAATCAACCTGCAGATGATGATGTCATAGTGATGTCGTCTCGTAGAGTCTTCAATCGGGTTAATGTGTGCAGAGCATACCAAACACTACCAACGTTCAGAAGAACTGCTCATTAAACCTACACAGTTGGACCCCTAAAATCAGGACTGCAATGAGACAGAAAATAAGTGAGACATCTACAATGTAAAAACAGTTGTCGTGGAAAGAAAAAGTGTTCTTATTGAGAGGTGTCCTCATTTCCTTAGAGAGGAGCTTTACAGTGTAACATGTTTGTTTCGAGATTCTGAATAAACTTGTAGTACACCTGTATGCCATGCGATGCAGTCATTTCAAACTCAGCCGTGTAACATACTTATGCTTTGTTGGATATCCCTAGGCAACCGACATGTATGAACCTAGGTATTGGGGGATTGTATCAGCCTATACAATCCTACATGTGCAAGGAGGGTTCATACATGTCGTTTGCCTAGGGATATCCAACAAATCTGTTGGAGTACCCAGACAGGACAGCATTCGCCCTTACAGGGCTCATGCTGTCCTGTCTGAGCACTGCAACATATACGTATACGTACACCTGTATGCATTGAGAAAAAGTCATCTGAGGTAACCCGGGGTAGAAAGCTATCTATCTGTGCCAGTGCTTACATAAGCTTACATCAGTCATATATCAGTAATCACACTGTAATAAAAAGCATACAGGTAGCGGGGTAGAACGCAGTAGTACCTGTGTCTTGAGGTACGTCTCGGGTGGAATGGCCAGGAAAGCTCCGGCTGCAATGTCGAGGTGCATCAGAATCTGGCGGAACAACGGTCGATGTTTCGGCTTCTGCTGCCTACACAGGCACCAGAGGTGTACACATACGTACATTATTAGGTGTACATGAAAACTGAACAGCTCACGCTATATACATAAAAAAAGAAAGAAAAAGAGAAAGAAAACAGGACTTCAAAAGGGCTACAATTAACATACATATATCCATAAGGGCTTACATACGTACACTCCAGAGGTGCATTACACTACATGTACTGGGTAGAGATAATGTATACGTACAAACCAGGGTCGCATCCAAGATTATTTCCTGGTTGTGACAGTGCTAAAATTGCATGAAAATGATTATTGAAAGTCACCCAAAAGCAAAATTTCACGAGAAAAGAAATTTCATGAACATGGTTGGCAGGCTGGTAAGTGCAGCACACTTAAACCCACAGGCTTCTTCAGGTTGTATATACAGTATACATACTAGAACGAATGCCACACATTATTTGCGGTGTAGTGCGCTGTGCACTACTAACCAGCACATCTCGAGGAGGATCTTGAGGCCGGAGGGACAGGTGGACGGGATGGGGAGGTTGAGCTTGTTACTTCCCACTCCCCATATGATAGCAGACGTACACACATTCTAGAGACAGAGAGTAGTGAGATAGAAGGAAGGAGGGGAGGGAGGGAGGGGTGACGTGAGTGAAAGTCTGCTATGATTTGGCCACCCATATGTGATAACATTCTACATGACAGGTCCTTAATAATCATTATTATTATGACGTCATCTTTTACTTCCTCATTCTTTTGTATCATGTCACTATTATGTATGTAGTGCAGTGTACTTCTTACAATGATCAGTTGTTACGGTACTGCTCGTGAGCCTACAAAACGTGGTACAATCAACTAGTGGCAGACATAAGCAAAAAGAGCGGGAGATATGTATCTTGGCCAGAGACCCACAGACGAAATAGGATTCAGGCCATCATTGCTAGAGATGTACGTGGTACATGGGGCACCTTTTGTAGCACCACTAGCTATCCACCATTGCTACTAAACATGCATGCAGTACTTCCATCCAGTTCATCCTTAGCTATTCAGCCAACAGTGGTGTAGTTGCTAGCCTTTCCATTGAGGCGTGGTGGTATCCCTTCCATGTGCAAGGGAAACCCCTGAAAAAGCCCCACTGTGCAGGTTATAGCGTGCAGAGAGGAGGAAATGCCTCCTGACCACAAGAATCTCACTCTCCAACAGTTATCTCTACTCATTGTGCACTGATTCATTAAAAAAATGCCACGTCACCCTCGCCACGCTGGCAGTCTATCGTTGTCATGGCAACACAACCCCATTGAATACCGACAATGTCACAAGACGAGACAGGGCCGTTTGTCTCCTAGTCTGTGTGTGTACATTCATTCAGTGGTGATTAGCAATGGGCTAAAAGCATTATGCTCTGTCTCTAACAGACCCCCCACAATGCGCAGCAAAAGCTGTAGCACAACTGTCTGTATCAAACATTACTTTTCACGACTATAAAATGCTATGCTCAGCTCCAGCACGTGTCTACATACGTACGTATACACATAGCTCTGCTTTTGAATGAACACTTGAAACGACATATTCCACGTGGGTCACCGCTATGCTTTGATCTGTGCAAGCTTATCACATGGCTAATACCCACACCATACTTGAAGGTATGACGCATTCCAAGTGAGTAGAGGGTACAATCCCACCTATGTACAGAGCAACACTATGTTGTTGTGAACTACACTGTTGGTGGCAAAAACACTGCAGCTATAGTCTGTCCTATTGGGCATGCATCGCCACACATTTCACTGTTTGTTAACAGAAATGCTGCAATGTGAACTGGGGTTGTTAAGAAACATCTCTCGCGGTCAATTTCAGTTGCAGCATGCATCACCATCCATTCTTTATTGTTAACAAAAATGTTGCATTGTGCACTGAGCGTGTTAAGAAACACCTGTCACATACGTTTGTATCCATATACAGCTATCGGTGTAACTTGCATTCTGTAGCAAAAAGCGCGAGTTGCACCAACATGCCATACATAGTGGATGATGATGTCATTACTTGTAGTATCCAAATATATAGATTTTCATGAGCCATACAGCTATGTATGTTGTAACTTTCTCCACTACCTCCCAAGGAGGAAGATGGGTATTTCCTAATGTGCAACTTACTCCACTCACATCCTGAGGCAGCGCTACATATTAGATGCTTCCCTGTTGATTATGTTGACACTACTGAATGTGTATGTACATATAAGGCTAGGTATATGTTCCATTAACTGTGTATATATACACCACAGAAATAGCAACAGTGCCGTGTGAAATAGCTGGCATCATGTAAACGCATTCTTCATGCTTTTAATGTACACACATGTAGTGAATCCTGGCAAACAAATGAGAGGGAAAAGTTTCAGCAGTTTACGTACCTAAAGCATTACAGTAGGATAAGTGTCTGAAATGCGTAACAGTTCAAAAGTATTGGGCATTCATACACCACAGGGTGGGCTCTCTTTACTTGCCTATTAAATGGGGCTTGTAATAAGCATTTTAGCCCTAGAATCAAGAGTGCAAAATACCAGTATAGTAAGCTTATGCCCCATACTCTGCTAACGTTGGCACACACAACTGTTGCAGAATAAACAATATTGTTTGTCAAGATAATTATTACAGCGGATTAAGTCAAGAAAGTCAGCTTTTTGCCAACACTTGCACACTCATTGCAGCAATGCCCAACTCTTACATTATAGGGCTTTTCGTGAGTGAGCATCTCCCACAATAGGACGGCATAGGACCAGACGTCCACCTTCTCGGAGCAGGGTTCATGTCTCAGCATCTCGGGTGACATCCACGCCACAGTCCCTGTAAAGGTCATTCTAGTGCTGTTGTCGCCTATGGTTCTGCTGGTGCCAAAGTCGGATATCTTGACAGAGTGGTCGTCACACACTAGGATGCTGGGGGAGGATGAGAGGGAGGAGGAGGAGGAGGAGGAGGAGGGAGGAGGGAGGAGGAGGAGGAGGAGGAGGAGGGGAAAGAGAGAGAGGAGTGGGAGGGGAGAGAAGGATAAGACAAAAGGAGAGAAATGAGGAGGCAGGAGAGGGTAAAGAGAGAGAGGAGTGGCAAAAGGAAAGAGTGAGTGGTAAAGGGAGTGGTAAAGGGAGTGAAAAACGAGTGAAAGGGACGCAATTACTAACTACATGCACAAACATCATTGACAAGGTATGCGGCCACCACACGTGCTGGCAGAAGATCACAACTCACACGTGGTGAATACTGTTTCGACCTCCCTCATTCACACACTGGGATGTGCTGACACCAGCAAAACACTATATGCCATTCATCCAAACAAGGACACAATGATGTAGAGTCACGTGTGGCGACAGGGGGAACGGTGGCATAAACATGTTTACAAGGCTTTTGGGTGGGTGGCTTCATATCACTTACGCAATGTGCACAGGAGGGAATGGCATTCCAACCAATAAGAGAGAAATGCAATTGTCAATCCCTTTAATCTAAAATTAAATGGAGCTAAAGTAATTCAAGTTTGCTCGTCACTGCGTTACAGAGGTTCCCACTTAAGAAGGTTTGCCACTTAGAAGCGCAGTAGTGAAGTCTGCATGGTGTACTGCACATATAAGTATACTGCACTCTACTAATGGGCATTCCAAATAGCAAATACAGACATGTGAAGCTCTGTACATTCGGGGAAACTTGGAGTTTCAGGACTAACCCACCAAATAGCAAAACTATCTCCAAGCTTCTGTTTTTTCTTCTACATAGTTGGTTAGAAAGTAGAGGCTAGTTGAGGAGTAAGTAGGGTTTTCTCTGGGGGCAAGGAGGCAATCTCCCCCCTCCCTCCCCCCACACTGGTTTAGCCCCAAAATGTCAGCATAGTATCCGTAATGTACTTGTGACCCCCTACACATCTCAAGGACTTAATTTACCCCTCTCCCCCCACACACACATCTGAAAAGAACCATACTTGAGTGATTTGAGGTCCCTGTGTATGATCTTCTTGGAGTGGAGGTAGAGCATTCCGTCTGCAATCTGGCGAGCCCAGCAGACCACCTGTGGGGGGAGGATCTCCCTCGTGGAGCGGATGTAGTCGTAGAGATTGCCCTGAGGGCAGAACTCCATCACTACACAGAAACAGGGTGGTTTCGTGCATACACCCCTGGAGAAGGAAGGATATGGGGGGAGGGTGAGAGACAGTGGGAAGGAGGGACAAGGAGAGAGAGGGAGGGAGAGAGAGGAGGGAGAGAGGGAGGGAGGGAGTTTCATGGAGTTGAGGAGGTCTTAGCGAGGCTTGCGTATCTTTCTTTTTCTTTCTTTTGACGACGTTTCGGAGCGGCTTCGCCTTCGCGCTGCTCGGCGCGCGCTGGGGGCGCTGCAGTTCATTGATTGCAGTGTGTATCAGTTTGCAATTTTTAAATCCATGTCCACAGTCCGTATCAATTTCTCATACACTCCCACTGCTATGACGTACAACGTGACGGTAGAGTCTCTTTTATGATCCACTTCACTAAATCATGAAAATACTGCAGTTGTTCACAACTGTTGTTCTTTCGTGGAAGAAACTATCAGAAATAGCCAACAGGACATTGCTCTGGACTGGTATATAGCAGGCTTATGCAACACCAGTCAAACTAAATACTGCAAGACAAGATACACCTTTCTGCAGTGCAAGAGCCACAGCCACACCTTTATCAAACATAGCCATGACACCCGCTGCAATGCAAGAGTGCTGCAATACAGGAGTGCTCATTCAACACAGCCCCACCCTTCTTTGCATTACTACTGTAGTCGGTGCACACCTCTTTGCCATTATTTGCTAGAGACACATACTACCTTACAGTTCGAAGCTATTGGAGGTTTATCGGTTATGTATATAACGTCTTCTTTGGTGGTGTAAGTGTAGATGAGTATTCATCTGGTAAAAATTTAACATGCAAGCCTAATGGCACCAAAGTGATATGGCATGAGATCAAACTTATAATATCACCAAAATGATACTGGCAAGCGAATTTCTAATTTCACCAAGGTCACCAATTTCTATTAATTTGGTAAAAGTAGGTATACAGTGAAGCCTACTGAAAAAGGATCCTCCAAATGAATGCCATCTCTCTATTAGGAACACTTGGTTCTGCCCCATACTGAATACATCGATCAGTGTATCAAACTACCTCTGAATAAAAGGACACCTCTAAACTTTCAATGTCTCCAAGGTGTCCCTAATTCACGTAATATATGTACCTGAACTGGACGATGTTGCTGTGACTGAGTTTTCTCAGCTGACAGATCTCCTTGCAGTAAGACTTTTCCTTCACCTTCTTCACTGCCACTTTCTCCCCGCGATACTCGCCGCTGAACACCGCTCCCTGAGCACCAGACCCCACAAACTCCAGTTGCTTTATGTCCGCGAACGCTATTTCCTCCCCGCTCCCCGTGCCCTGCCCGACTTTCTCGCGTCCTCCTTTCCAAAACGTGGTAACCACGGGACTAAGGCAGGCCCAGAACCCCTCCGCTAGGCTCATGCGTCGCCGCTCGCTGGGCGGCGTCTCCGTGGACAGGACGTCTTCCTGGGACTCTGTCATGGTGTCGCTGCTGCTCTCTTCCTCTTCTCCCTCTCTCTCTTCTTCCTCGGCTGCAGAGGTCTCGTCGTTCGGGTCGCTGCTCGCGGTCCAAGCGGTCCTCGAACTTCCCTCTCCGTCCTGCCTCTGCTGTTGTTGCTGGGAGGGCTCGAGCTCTGGAACAGCCGCAGTGTTCTGCTCCAGTATCTCTTCCACCTCTGACAGCTGTAGTTCCACCGGGCTCCTTCGCTCCTCGGCTTCGCCGCCGAACGGGCTGCTGCCCCGGATCCCCGACAAATCGCCTCTCTCCAGCACGTTGGAGTAGACGTTTATGGCTGCCATCTCTCCTTAGCTGGTTCGTTTAGGACGTCTCAGAAACAAAGAGGACGTATATACGTAGAATAGATTCTTTCCACAGCTCGACTTATGGTTACTATCTCGAAAAGAACAAATCGCCGCCGATCGTCAACTTTCGTCAACTTTTCGTTGCGGATATCGGAAAATGCTGTGTCTCCCACCTCACAGCTAAATCTCCATAAACTAGTTGGACGGTCAGCAGCAAAAGAGAAGCAGCTACACACAACTTTGAAGAGCGCTGGCAGCTAAATACGTACGGGTAATCCCCAGGCCCGCCCCACTCAATTACGTCATCAGTTATCTGTTAATAATGTGCTTCAATTAGAAAACAAGTCCCTCGCTAGTTATGGAGAGCGCTGCTCCTCACGCTGTGTCCTCCTCTTTTACAACTCCTGTCACTGTATCTGCAGGTTCTCAGACGCGGGCAGACGGGACGGCCGTCCTACCCACCGTAAAAGTCAGTTGTCGCCGAGCTACACACCAATGTATCTTGTATCTAAACGCCATAGCTATGTCAATCTATTGTCGTTTGCTAACAATGCAAAAGGGTTGCAAAGCGTTATTCCAGCATTTTCTATCAGTTGGAAGTACGTTGTTTGAATAGTTTTTTTCTGTGTCCTGCAGGCTGTTCCTCTATCCCCAACTCAGCCAGGTGGTGTAGTAGTCAGCAAGGGAGGGGGAAACCCTGTCATTGTGGGGTTATTGCCAGCAGGCGGCACTCCTGGCCGCACTGCCACTGCAACCGTCATCTCTGTCTCCAGGTAGGTTGTTTATGATCTAGGTTCTCTGTTTGCCCCTTCCCTCTCGCCCTCCCTTTTCCTTTTTTCCCTCCCTCTCTTCCTTACACTCTCCCCACCTGTACTCCCTCTCTCTTTGTCCATCCATCCATCCCTCCTTCCCCTCCCTATTCTTCATTTTCTTTCCTCTCCTCCTTCCTTCCCTCTCTTCCTTCCCTCTTCCCTCCATTAACAATCCATTCTCCCCACAGACCACCATCTCTACAACATGTCCCTAAGCCTACCAGTTCGTCACAATCAGTCATCTCCAGCAAAACCGTAACATCTTTCTCACCTGCTTTCCAATCAGATCGCAGTCCCACAAGGGTTACCGGGGCAACTGCTGCCATGCCAACGACCCACTACAGTAACAAACCAATCGTGATCAACAGAGCGGCTACCGCTACAACAGTACACCCAGCCAAGTGAGAATTCTTCACTTTCTTCTCCATTGCCTCTTCCCTTCCTCTCATCCCCTGCCTTCTCCTGCCTTACCTCTTTCTCCTCTTCCTCTCATCAGGGGTTCATTAGGAGAGGGGGCTAGGATGTGCACCACCCCCCTCCAATCTCCCCCACCTCCTTGAAGTTTAGGTCAACTAGGGACCCAGGGCTTCACCTTCTTTATATTGCCCCAACCCCTTGAATCAATTTCTAATTGAAGTCATGCTCATGTTATAGAACTCACATACCCTCACTGTTGTTCCCTGAGGATGCTTAGCTTTAAAATAGACATTCTTGTGCCTGGCCCTATTGTTTAATTCCGTCTTTAGTGTATATGTATACTGCTACATACTCCCTCTCTCACCATCTCCTTTACGTACTATATATACAGACTAGCTATGACATGATTTCGATGGTTGTTACCTGCATTTTACTGTCTTAAAGGAATGACAGTGACAGTATAATATATTTATAGTACTGAGAACGGAAACCTAGTACATTCATGATCTGGTCTCCATTGCTTAGTTCTGTCTTTACTAATGTCTCAAAAGTTAGCCCCTCTGTCAGATTCTCTTTAACAGAGATCTTCCTCCCTCCTCTACCGGCCAGGGAGCCTCAGGTCCTGGCCTGTCTGCCTACTTCGTCTCTTCCGTCGTCCACTGGCCAGGGAGCAGGAAAACCAAAGTCATTTGCTGTACTCATGGCAACGGAGGCTCCAGCTACACAAGCGTCACGGAAACAAACCACGCCCCTCAAGAAAAGTGGGTGCTCAGTATGGAAGATATCGTATGAGACTATGTTTTGCAAACTTCACACGAGTTTAATGAAACTACAAATATTTTTTGCGACTTATTAAATTGAATGTGGCAGTATATACATTTACAAGGCTTAAGTGTTACGAAATTTATTGCATTCTTGCACTGGTTCCGTCTGTAGTAAATGTAGCCCTTTGTGATATACCGCCACATTTACTTTTAGTGTGCCATGGTCACAAGTTTGAAGTTTGAAGTTGATAGAAGTTATACTCTGATCACTAATCCATACATAAATATGGATGATGGTAGAGCCAACTATGATTGACAGATGAGTAATCAACTACTTGTCACATGTTATGCCCTATTTCCATGTACTGTCTGTCCTTTATGACAGGAAAAACTACCTTATAGTTGGAAGTTTTTAGGATGCAAATTATATCATATATCGCCTCGATAATTATATGAATTTAATCCCTAACAAATTCAGCGAGTCAAGTTAGCAATATGCGTATCAAATTTGAATATTTTACCGGGATTATTGTGACTATATCCCCACTTTACAATCCTGCTCTACCGTACAAGCAAAGTAAGCTAATACACGTTTTGTTCCTCGTGTCCTGCAGCTCAGACAGGCAAGTCTGCCTCCTCCTCCTCCTCCTCCTCCAAATCGTCCCACCCCAAGACCTCAAAGACCACACCCACCAGTGGTGACTCCGCTCCCCTGCCGACCAGGAGCTCGCAGAGGAACGTGAAGAGACCAAAGACGTACGATGAGGAGCTGGCAGAGTTGGAGCTGGCCGCCGCCTCCAAGACCAGCAAGAGATCCAAGGGAGGAGGGGTGAGTTGGGGGAGAGGAGGGAGTTAGGGAAGAGGAGGGAGGGGTGAGGTGGGGTGGGTATGAGGAGAGGAAAAGAAGAGTGGCTTGGGAGAGAGTAGGGGAAGGAGTGAGTGTGGGGAGAAGAGGGAAAGTGTGAGCATGAGTAGGGGAAGAAAACAATGGGGCTGGGGGATGGTTGGGATAGAGGTGGGGGAGGAGTGAGTTTAAAGGTAATGGAAGGAAACGAGGGGTTTTGGGGAGAGCAGAAGGGGTTAGTCGGGGAAGAAGAGGGGGGGAGGAGTTAGTTGAGAGTATTGGGAAGCCTTGGTGTTTCAATGTTAGTGCTCACTTTTGTAAACTTACATAGTATCATCTGGGACATGAAAGGATTGGTGTTGTGTATCTTTTCTCTCCTCGCAGTCTTCTAAAGCCAACTCAAGGAAAGGAGGCAGGGCCAGGGTATGTACAATTATTGCTGCCGATGCATCAGTGATTATATTTTGTTCTCGCATTGTGGCCGATACTATGTTGGTCCACCATGTTAAATATTGCTCTCATGTCCATGTGTGCGAACTTTATACGACTGCCTTAAAGAACCCGAGCTTGGGGACCAAAAGCCAACACTTTTATACAATGGTGACAATACATGTAGTCCATAAAGAGGAGTGCCCAGAATGACTGCATAGCCAGGGATACAGTATACACTCGCTTGACAGTTGCAGCATACGTGCTGAGCGTGTTTAAAACAAACCCATGCGTAATAATGCGCACATTTCATGCCCAAGTTCAAATGCTACCACATGTCATGTTTTTTTACGTTTGTGTTTACTTATATAGTAACGCAAAGCCTTTGGGTCCCAAAAATTTTAACAAACCTAATCTCGCCCGTGTTGTCCAGTTGTCGGGAGCGATCAAGGACCTGGGCCGGTGGAAGCCGGCAGACGACCTGATGTTGATCAGTGCAGTGCAGCAGAGCAACGACCTGGCCGCGGTCCACCTGGGAGTGAAGTTCTCCTGCAGATTCACACTCAAGGAGGTCCAGGAGAGGTGGTACGCCCTCCTCTATGACCCCCAGATCTCCAAGTGAGTTCTACGTAGCTATATACCAGTGCATGTCAACAACAAAGAGGTAGCAAGGCAAAGGCAAAGCAAACAAGTCAACTACACCCAGGGTAGCTAAGCGGGATTCAAACCCACGAAACTCTGCAGTTTAGGCTAGGTTCTCAATATGTCGCATTGCCCCGTCGCGTCCTGCTGTGAAGATAGAGAAATGGATTCTATCCTCGCGGCACGGCAACGTGGCACGGCACGATGCGACATAATTGTGAACCTCCACATGACCCCTATGACACGGGTTACCCACGTGGAAGCAGTCCCTGTGTCATAAGGATGGGGTAATGACACAATTGTCGACTTTTCAGCACAGGCCTCCTAAAATCCAATAAAATTTGCTGCACTTACAACACTCATGTTGCCATCAACAGCAGTGACCTTGTGCACTTTTTTAAGTGTCTCAATCCCATTATTATAAGGATTGGATTATAGAATATACATAGTATGCATGGGGTTAAAGCTGGTATCATGTGACTGTCATGTGACAGGATAGCCATAGAGGCCATGAGGACCCTGCCCCCAGGAGTGGTGACCATGGCCCTCAACAATGCTCTGTGGAGTGTGGAGGAGGAGGCCGTTCTGGCTAGAATACCATCCGTGAGTCTTCAACAGCTGCAGCAGCATTCAGCGGAATGCCACAGTATAATTATAAGGGCTGTATTTTACGAACCAAACAATAGCAATTGCTTTCGAAAAGCTTCTAAATTTACCCTTCAAGAACCACACAATAGGACTGTAGCTGTTACCCTTTGTATGTATATACACTGTCCTGCATGTTATAGTATACACAGTGGTTTGAGGTTTGCCTTTGCTGTATTGTGTTGTAGAAGTGAAAGAATCCAATTACTTCCCGTTTTAGTAACAGCTTCTAAATTTAGCCCTTCAGGAACCACGCAATAGGACTTAGCTATTACCCTTTGTAGGTACAGTGTCCTGCATGTTATAGACACAGTGGTTTTGCTGTATTGTGTTGTAGAAGTGAAAGAATGCAATTACTTCCCGTTTTAGTAACGGCTTCTAAATTTAGCCCTTATAGTGACACGTGCCCTTTAACTGTATATGCTTTCATGTATCTCTCTTAAGCACTTTCTTGAAAAACCATGAAACCTGCTTTCGTGAAATAGGCGAAATCAGCGGATAATAATTATGTCGCAAAAGAAACAGTAACTGTACTTTCATGGACCTCTCTTTAAAGCGCTTTCGTTAAAACCGTGAAAACTGCTTTCGAAACTGCTTTTGTGCACGTATAGTTGGCCACACTATGTAATGTTTCTAGCTATTACAATAGTTCATGTGTCAACGCCTACGTACGTAGCGAGGTAGAAAGGCAAGGCAAAGCAAACAAGTCAACTACACACCCAGGACAGCTCTTTCTCTTTCAGGGAAAAGAAAGAGCTACCCTGGGTGGGATCTGAACTCATTCACAGCCTGGATACCTACGTATGTACGTATGTGTCCACACAGACTGATGCAGGTCACCTGGAGACGTTCCAGAGCCTTCTGAAGGCTCATCCGTCAGTGTTCCATGCCTGTCGGACGCCCACCTCTCTACACCATCACTGGGTCCTCATGGGCCACTACAAACTACTCAATAACCAGAAGAGTGAGTGATAGGGAGGGAGGAAGGGAGAGTGAGCAATAACCAGAAGAGTGAGTGAGAGGATGTGTGAACGAGTGGGAGGAATAGGAGGAGGGAAGGAGGGAGTGATAGGGAGGCAGGGAGTGTGCAGGGAGGCAGGGAGTGTAGTGTGGACAAGACTGTCTCAAAGCAGCTTGAAGGGTAGCTTGGAAGTAATTGGCAAGCAAAGAAGGTGTACCTAAATCATCTGAATTGTGCCATTTTCCTCACCAAAATACAGTAGAACCTCGATAAGGGACCCTCCGAGATAGGGACGACCTCTCTACAAATGACACTTGTTTCAACCCCTCCTATATTTAGCTTTTATTTACCCGAGATAGGGAAACCTCTCTACAGGGACTGTTTCAACCCATCCTAATACTTAGTCTTTATTTCACCTCCGAGATAGGGACGACCTCTCTACAATGGGGCACTTTTTTTAATCCCATCCTAATACTTTAGTCTTTTATTTCACCTTCGAGATAGGGACGACCTCTCTACAAGACACTTGTTTCAACCCCATCCTAATACTTTAGTCTTTTATTTCACCTCCGAGATAGGGACGACCTCTCTACAAGGGACAAAATCTTTGTGCCCCATAGTGTCCCTTGTTCGGAGGTTCCACTGCATGGCATTATGCATTATTTGTGTTTGCTGTCTACCATTTAAAGTGAGGGCAGCGGAGAGAGGCAGTGTTTATAGCTATGAGTATTTGTTCCAGGCCGAAATTTCCCCCAAGCCCCTAGAAACATCCCAATTAATCCTGCACTAATAAACAAAGCCCAAGCCCCTCATCCCAATTAATCCTGCATATACAGTTGAGCTGATCCCTCCTGGAGATACGGTTGTCAATTTCACTGACGCCGAGGACCAACTGAACGACAGTGAACTTGTGTAAGGGCTCAATATTGTAGCTATACGTAGATGTACAGATGTAATAGTGGCAATGTGTGGATTTGCTTATAGTCACTGTTGTGTGTGTTTGTTGAGAGTGTGTTGTTTGTGTATCTGTAGGAAACAGAGAGATGTGAGGGAGACTGCTCTTGAGCAAGGTATATTGTCTTTTCTTGCAAGTCGGCTTCTTTTCCTGTAAAACTCTGTGTGTGTGCGGTAAATCAGAGACTCCGTTATGGGCCAAATAAAGACGTATGTACATTTTAAGGCAAGATGACTTATGGGGGAGAAAGTCTGTCAGTGTGTGTGTGTGTGTGTGTGGTGTGTGTGCACGACGAAAAGAAAAATCAACTTATTCGACTGTAGATATTGTAATGTAGTGTATAATTAGTGAAAGAAGCGAATCTACCGGCTCGTCTGAATACGGAATTTTCTATATACATACGTCGTTTACATACGTCGTTTACATGTCACGGACATAGGCACTGCACATAATGTTCTACGTGAGTGTGCGTCAAATAGAGATAAAGACAGTTGAGTAGGAGCGAAATTGCCAGTGAAGTGAGCGAATCTGTTCAGTGAAGGAGTCACTGAGATAGTGTAGCCAGGTAGCTAGTGTTCTACGTGATTCTAAATACGCGTGAAACACGCACGTGGGGAAAATCCAACAGCCTTCCTTTCGCGGTGTCTGGCTCCTGCAAGGAGTTTCACAAATTCGAAAATCTCGCTTGAACACACCCATTTTTGCTCGCTTCACTTGGCAATAATGTGTTGCTCCTGTCGATCCTCCAGAGCTGATGGCGTCAGAGCGACAGGTGAAGAGGGAGATTACCAGAATGGAGGAGGAGATCCCGAGATGGAGAACAATCATTGATACTGGAGCCCCTCCAGGTGAGAAAGCCCCTGTTCGTCAATCACTAACACACACATGCATGCTGGTATGCTATGAACTATAATTTCATGCCAGCTATATGTACAAGTACAGTGTATATAGGAGGAAACTTTCTAGGCAGAGAACCTGTGATTTTTTGGCAGCATGGCTAAATTTAGAATAGGTTACTAAATATAGAAAACTGCATTGCACTGCAATAAATTTAGGCCACATTTTCTTGAAGTTGTGAGAGCAATAAAGTTTTGTTCCTGGAGAAGCAATCCATGAATGAATTACTATGATTTTCTTTCTCTAAAGTTTCTAGCCATGTGCCGTTTATAGTTCCGTTGCTTATCTTGATGGAATAATGCATATTATAGTCACAACGATGTGCATCAGTTGTGACTATGTATTAGTATGCCATCAATAATGCCAACAAACGGAATATTTAGAGCCAGTGTACATGATTACAGTGTTAGACTATGTGTGTGTTGGCATCACATGGTCTATTGTTACATGTAGTATGTGTCTATGCAGAGTTTGGTGCGGGAGTGTATGCCATTCTGAAGGGAAAAGTGGTGGAGTTTATGATGACATCACACTCTGTCACTCTCGGACGAAATTCTGCCGCAGGACAGGTGGACTTTGACCTCTCCCTGGAGGCACCGGCCTTCAAGATCTCCCGCAGACAGGTCAGTTCTGGTCGGTAGCTGGGGGAGACTGTCCCTTGTCACCTTCACTAATGTTGGGACCCTCGATAAGCCCCATCAGCAAGCTTCAGGCCGAGCAGAGTGGGTGCTGTATCAATAGACTTCATTGGTTGAGTATGCAGCTCATCTCTATCACTTACATACTAGAACGCATGCAACACATTTTTGGCAAATGAGTCTGAAATGTCTGCAGTTT